TTTCTCTTGACCATAGGTTATATTTTCCCATCTCTTCACATGTGTTCATGGGTGATTTTTTATTGTACACCAGACATTGTGGTTTATACTCTAGATTTTGTTATCTCCTTCTGAAAAGTATTTTGTTACATCAGCTTACTAGGTTACTAGCAGGTCATCTGAAGCTTATGGAGTTTAGGATGCATTTTTGTTAAAGATGTTGCTTCCTCTGCTTTCCTCAAGTAGGAAGCCTATTTATCACAGACAAACAGACCTTCTCATAATAACAGTTACAATTATGAAATTATTTAACCAGTTTCAACAAAAAAATTGGGGGGAAAAGTTACCTTCCTACACAATTTTTTTTCCTACACCTTTGAGTTTTGGTAGTGATTACTTTTCAACCTCAAAGGAGCCTACTTTCCTTTAAAGATTATTCACTGTTTATAACAAGGAATTTTTCTAAGCTTTTCTTCAAACCAATTTTGGTTTCTAGCAGGTACCATTACAGGGAAGGTGCTGATGTGGCCTACCATCTCCTAACCCCTTTGTGAAGAAGCCTTTTCTATCACAGTATAATGATTCCTTTTTCTTTTTCTTCCCAACCTCCAACTCCCTTCCCGTAGGTTTTTTTTTTTTTTTAACCTAAAGTGAAAGTCGTTTCCGATTCTTTGCGGCCCCATGGACTCTAGCCTACCAGGCTCCTCCGTCCATGGGATTTTCCAGGCAAGAGTACTGGAGTGGGTTGCTATTTCCTTCTCCAGGGGATCTTCCCAACCCAGGGATCGAACCCGGGTCTCCCACATTATAGGCAGACGCTTTACCATCTGAGCCACCGGGAAATCTTTTTTAACCTAAGATTGTAGTCATTTCTGTCTCTCTCTTCCTTTACTATGAACTTGTTACTATAAAGGTTTCCTCTTCATCTGTGTCACTAGTGCCTGGCGGCATCAGGAATGAAGGAGATTTCCAAAACTGAATTTCTATCACATTGAAGTTCTGAGATTTGGTGAGCATGCTTGTTTCACTGGTGTGGTTTAAGGGATTTTACAGAAGACAGCTTCTGTGTCAGCATTTTTCTTTGGTCTCCGAATGACTGGTTTTACAGACTCTCTGCAGCTCTGTCACCCTTCAGAGGACCCACACAATGCCAGGTGCAGATAAGACATAAGTGTTTGAGACTGACAAGTAAGTCTCACTTGTTCTCTCAAAGTTCAGAAGCCTGGAGGATGTCATTGTCCAAACGTTTCTGTTTGTGTTTCTGGACATTCCTTAACATTCAGATTAGAAGCCCATGGAAATGAGTGGGCTGTGGATGCGGTGTGATGCCTTACGCCCTTTCTCAGTATGTCTTGCCTGTACCCTTGTTGCTTCCCCAGATCAGTGGCCAAAGAGAAGCCCACAGTGACAGACCAGGCTTTCTAGTCCCTGACTCTTGAGGAGAGAAAGGAAATGACTCGCTCTTGTGGGGTCACCCAAGGGACCAACTGAATCAAATCTCACATCCTCTGTAGAGCTGACGTTAATAAGAAAAGGCACATCTTAATGCTTTTCCTGGCATAGCAGGCAAGCGCCCTAAACCCAGTCTGCAAGCGGTGACACGGAACTCGAACACCAGGGCAAAGTTGACTTGTACTCGTGTTTCTGTATTTGGCAAGTGTAGGCATTAGTTTTAGTTTAATCAGCAGTTAACGCCAGCTCACAAAGAGAGAGAGAGAGGTGGGTTGGGTGTGTATTGTTAGCACATGTGCTTGCCTATTTAAACGATGTTTAAGGAATTCTTGACCCAAAGAAATAATGGCCCGTGAGCTTGAGAGAAAGGGCACCTGGCTCTCACTGACACCAGAATCTCCTGTTTTCGATTATTTATGGCTTCAAGTTCTTTTCTTTGAAAGAGAGATTTTCTTCAGGAAGACAGCAAACGAGGGAGAGAGCCAGAGGCGGCTGAAGAGACTGTGTCCTGCCAGACCCATTCTCTCCACTGTCACAAGCATCTCGACTTTCCATTTGTGAGAAAGCTAAGATAGGGATTCTTAAGTCCATTTGGTTAATTTGGACACAACCCAGATTTCACTGGGGGATGGTTTACATCAATGTAGGGTGGATGACAGGTGTTGGGCTTATGGCAGGTTGCAGATTTGCTGGAAAACAAGCAGATTACAGGCCTGAGGCACTTGCTGAAGCTTGTTGTGGGAGCACAACACCCCATTTGCTCCAGAGTGGACGGCAGCCCTGATACATGTGCTTTAGCCCACTTTTCCTGTCTCCTTGGAGCATCCTCAGGGCTACTTTAAAAAGCATCTATTTGCTTAGAATGACTGATCTCATCGGCCGAAGGCAGGACTAACAGGTTTTACTGAAAATAATTTAGCACAGATTCCAAAGGGACATGTGCAGGCTATTCCCTCCAGGCTGGGAAGGTCGGACTGGGGGCCGAGAGGGAGGGCTGTGCTTGTGAGAGTCTCCTTCTCTGTCCCCCATTTTGCACACATGGTCTGTGCTGTGGAGCAATGATGAGGTCACTCCTCTGTCGTGTAATGAGCACTTCTGACTGTATAAATTCTTTGAGGTCCTGCCTGACTCTGGCATCCTCTCCATTGCCTTTCTCCATTTGAAAGAATTCTCTCCTAAAGCTTAATGGTAGAACGCAGTTTCCAAATGATCATCATCTTCATAGACGCCTTGCTTGCAAACAATGGAAGTTAATAGAGGTGTAATGTTTCCAATGTAGTTTAAGACCAAGATGGAACACATCGACTGTTAATATCCTGTGTGTATTTGACCATAGGCATGAACATGTACACACCCATGTGTATACTTCACGTTTTTCAATCCATCTTTCATACTCAACTAGTCCTTCATACTCAACTAGTTCCATTCCCACCCCACCCCACCCTGCCTTAGAGATGCTGGATTTTTTTTTTTAATTATTAGGCTCTATAGTTTAGGTCAATTTTAAGTTTACAGAAAAATTGAACAGAAAGTATAGAGAAAGCTCAGGTATTTGTTCCCCCCATCTCCACATACAATTTCCGCTATCGGTAACATCTTATGTTAGTATGGTGCATTTGTTACAGTTTGTAAGCCAGTTCAGTTCAGTTCAGTTCAGTTGCTAAGTTGTGTCTGGCTCTTTGTGACCCCATGGACTGCAGCATACCAGGCCTCCCTGTCTATCACCAACTCCTGAAGTTTACTCAAACTCATGTCCATTGAGTCAGTGATGCCATCCAACCATCTCATCCTCTGTCATCCCTTTCTCCTCCTGCCTTCAGCCTTTCCCAGCATCAGGGTCTTTTCCAATGAGTCAGTTCTTTGCATCAGGTGGCCAAAGTATTGGACTTTCAGCTTCAGCATCAGTCCTTCCAATGAATATTCAGGACTGATTTCCTTTAGAATGGACTTATTGGATCTCCTTGCAGTCCAAGGGACTCTCGAAAGTCTTCTCCAACACCACAGCTATAAGCCAGTCAGTACTGATACATTATTAGCAGAAGTCAGAAGGATCCCCTGGAGGAGGGCATAGCAACCCACTCCAGTATTCTTGCCTGGAGAATCCCATGGACAGAGGAGCCTGGCCGGGCTATAGTCCAGTGGGTCACAAAGAGTCGGACATGACTGAAGTGGCTGAGCAGTAGCAGCATGATTTGCGATAAAGTTTGTTCACTCTTGGTGTTGCGTATTCTCTGGTTTGCACGAAGGTATAATGACATGTATGCACCATTAAAGTATCATGCAGAGTAGATCCACTGCCCTAAAAATCTCCTGTTTACCTATTCACCAACCCCCACCACCAACCCTTTGGCAGTCATCTATGTTCTTACTGCTCCATAATTTTGTTTCTTCTAGAATGTCATAGAACTGGGATCATACAGTATGCATCCAGCCATTTCAGATTGATTTCATTCACTTAGTAACGTGCATTTAAGTTGCCTCCATTTTTTTTTTCTTTTCTTTTTTTTTTATTAGTTGGAGGCTAATTACCTTACAACATTGCAGTGGTTTTTGTCATACATTGAAATGAATTAGCCATGGATTTACATGTATTCCCCATCCCGGTTCCCCCTCCCACTTCCCTCTCCACCCGATCCCTCTGGGTCTTCCCAGTGCACCAGGCCCGAGCACTTGTCTCATGCATCCAACCTGGGCTGGTGATCTGTTTCACCCTAGATAATATACATGTTTCGATGCTGTTCTCTTGAAACATCCCACCCTCGCCTTCTCCCACAGAGTCCACAAGTCTGTTCTAAACATCTGAGTCTCTTTTTCTGTTTTGCATATAGGGTTATCATTACCATCTTTCTAAATTCCATATATATGTGTTTGTATACTGTATTGGTCTTTATCTTTCTGGCTTACTTCGCTCTGTATAATGGGCTCCAGTTTCATCCATCTCATTAGAACTGATTCAAATGAATTCTTTTTAATGGCTGAGTAATATTCCATGGTGTATATGTACCACAGTTTCCTCATCCATTCGCCTGCTGATGGGCCATTTTTTTTTCATATCTTGTCTTGATCGCTCTTTTCTTTTCACTGCTGAGTAATATTCTATTGCCTGGATGTACCACAGTGTATTCATTCACTATGGACATTTTGGTTGCTTGAAGTTTTGGCAGTTATGGATTAAGCTGCTATAAATGTCTGTGTATGTGTTTTTGTGGGCTTCCCAGATGGTGCAGTGGTAAAGAATTCACCTGCCAATGCAGGAGACACAAGAGATATGGGTTCAATCCTTGGGTTGGGAAGATCCCCTGGAGTAGGAAATGGCACCCCACTCCAATAGTCTTGCCTTGGAAATCCCATGGACAGAGGAACCTGGCAGGCTACAGTCCATGGAGTCCCAAAGAGTCAGACATGACTGAGCATGCACACATAGGATTTTGTGTGGACAAAAATTTTCAGTTTATTCAGGTAGATACCAAGGGACAAGATGGCTAGCTCACCAGACGCTGGATTTAAAAAGAGAAAAAAAATCATTGGGGATAATTTCAGTGTGCTCACAGATCGTGTGTTTTTCCCAGAGACGACTACCATGAGGATGGATTCTGCCAGCCTTACCGGGGAATTGCCTGTGCACGTTTCATTGGGAACAGGACCATTTACGTGGACTCTCTCCAGATGCAGGGGGAGATTGAAAACCGAATCACAGGTAGGAGTGCAGACCTTTGTTCTGAGATGTTGAGCATGCATGCAGCTGCTTGTCACCCCACTGGTGTGTTTTCAACCCCATTTGTGTATTTTGTCTCTTACAACCATGGCCAGTGAACTCTTGTGCCATGTCTCCTGCAAGAGAAAATCAGAGGCCTTTATCAGAAGTGGGTTGCAGTTTATCCTAAAATATTCCTATTTGTATATGCAAATTAGCAAGCGCAGTCTGCTTAGGGTGTACCAACGCACTGACTTCCGTCGGGGGAGCGGGTCCCAAGCCCTGGGTTGTCTTGTTTGCCTCCACTACCCTCATGGCCAGGCCAGCACCTGTGATGATCAGTCTTGGTTCTGCCTTTCCTAGCTCTTGTGCCTTCTCAGAGTTACAAGGAACCTGGCTTGGGTACAGAGTACCCGGGCCGGATTTTAGCTACTGGGCACAGAGGTTCCAGGCCATCAGCGGTACCCTAGGGACATTGCAGTGAACTCAGACTCCCATCAGCCCTTGGTTTCTGGGCACAGTCAGGTCTTCGCTTACCTGATCCACCATATGAGAAGTGGTTCAGATCCTTTAGGAGTGAAGGTACTCGTTTTCCATCATTTTAGAAGTTGATGTTAAGAACTTCCTGGGGGAAACTCCTTGAGAAGTGAGAAAATGAACTAAACCAAGGCCCTGAAATTCCTCCCCCTCCTGTCTCTGCTCTCCTCACAAACCCCTACGTTTTCTCCTTCAACTCTTTAAGGAACAAGGAGAATCTTGTGAAGATGGTAGGTATGGGTTTAAAGCAGAACTAGGTTCTCTGCACAGTGATTCTTGACCCAGGCTGATCCCTGATGTGGGCTCCCTGGAGATTCTGGAGGGATTTGCAGAGAGGCTGGCAAAGCACTGCCCTGTGAGGGTACAAAGGAGGACCCCAGGGAGAAACTAATGCAGGTGTCACTGAATGTTCTTTTAAGTCCAGTTTGACCCTGGCTTTGTCTTTCACCCTCAGTCTGGAGGGTCTGAGGTCTAACCTGCCTGGCCCATGGCTACAGAGACCCCTGAGGACAGGGTCAGGTGTCCAGTGAGAAATGGAAGGGCAGTAATGGGACTCCGAGATCCTGGAAGGTGCTATCTTGGTCCAGTGGGCACATGTTTTGAACTTGTTCGTATCTCTCATTGGAAAAGCTCCCTATGCCATTTAAAGCAGAACTTCTTGAACTTTCTGACCACAACCCATAGTATACAGTATACTTTACATCATGACTTAGTATACATATATATCTACTTCATAGAACTGAAATGGGTTACAGGAAGCAGCATTTGCTTTAACAAAGGCAGTGCAAGCTAATTTTTCCCTTCAGTTTTATTTCATTAAAGAAAAAACTTGGTTCCAGCCTTAATATAAACCATGCATGCTGACATCCTCTGTTCCATTCTAATCATCTTTTAAAATACTAGCCACAGACTCTAGAATTAATTGTGTATCCCACTAATTGGCAAACACGGATTCAAAGCACAGGGTTGTCTCTCAGTTGTTTCTTCAGGAGGTTTAAAGGATAGCAACTCAGATATCTAAGCAGACTCATTTTATAGTGTTTTTTTAAAGATAAAAGTTTAGAATGAGGATTCTCTAGATTTGTGTATTTTTGAAAATGTAAATGTGAAGCTGCTCTAGACTGACTGACTTATGGTTTAGAAACTGTTGGTTGTGAAGACAGTCTGTTTGAAGAGAATGCTTGTCAGAATGAGTTCCAGGGACACGGGAAGCTTCCCAGGAATGAGCCCCAGAACCATCAAAGTGATGTGCTGGATGTAAACAAAAACAAGGACATGAGTTGTTGGATCTCTGTGATGCCTAGAACCATCTTTCAGAAATAAGTCCTCACGTGATAGGTTCTGGGGCAGGGGAGAGAAACAATCCTCTAAGGGTCAGCCTTGACGTCCTCTTAGTTGATATCCCCAAAGCAATGCCACGTCTGGCTTTCTTAGGCCTTTCGCTGCCTGGGGGTAGAAGCCAAAATTGGCGACAGATGTTCAGGTAGTCAGTTGTCAGCTCACATGATGAGACTGGGTTCAAACCCAGCTCGCCAGCCAACCCTAAGAGACCCTGCACCTTAACCTCTTACCTGTCTGTTCCGCAATTTCAACATTGGCCAGAAGGGACCGGAGGCTAAGGATGACATGATGAGCACACTACGGAGTTTTCAGCACCCGGTGCTGCGTGCAGAACACAGAGACAGCCAGAGCCCCGTGGACCAGTTACCTCCTGCGCTATTTTATAGGCTCCACGTGGGTTTCCATTTCCCAAAGTGTGGCCTCAACAGATCACTTGACAGATAGAGACCCAGGTACAGAAAGGCCTGAGTGACTGCCAGTCCTGTGGTAAACGACAGGGCCGGGCCAGAACTGGGCTCCCATGCCAGCTCACCTAACCCAGCGCCAGCCATGGGTACCTTGCTGGATCTTTGGAGGGAAATGGGTGCCAGCAGTGCCACCTGCTGGCCGCGCTAGGCACGGCACTACAAGTGATGGGTGGAGCTGAAGTGTCCCAAGGACTAAATTCCAACCTCTCTTGCTCTAGTCACGGGGCACCTCTCTTTCTCTAGCTGGCCAGGATCAGATCCTTACAATCAGGTCCTCCACAGGTCAAAGTGGGGTGGGCACAGGTGGGGCAGCAGATGCTTTCCTTTGAGTGCTGACTGCCACAACCTGGAGGAGAGGGCCCTGGAGTGCACACCTTCCCTCCTGCCACTGGCAGCTCTGCTCCCATCCACCTGCCCAGACGTGGTCTCTGCAGCCCCCACCGCTTTCCTTTGTCCATATCAGGTGTCAATTCTTCCCATCCAGCCCCATCCTTTGATGTCTCACCCCAAAAGCAAGCCAGCCAACCCAGGTTCCAGATACTCCTGTGATGGCTTGCTTCTCTGCTGTCCTTTATCACAAAGACCTGCCCCCCTCCCCACTTTGAACCTCCTCTGGTTGTTTCTTGGCTCTCCCCAGACTCCACCTGAAGGAATGCCCACCGTCCACTCCCATTGTCAAGTACTCCGTCTTGGGCTGCAGGCCATAGGGCTGATCATTCATCTTTCTGGCTCTGTTCATACCCTGGGTGGTCCATTCCCTGCCAGGCCTCCCCTCTGCACACAGGCTCCAAGATGTCAGGAAGACCAAAGCTCCATCCTTGGGCCTCTTCTCCAACCTCTCCTTCTAGAAGCCACTGAGCCCGTGGCTTCACCTGTCCCCAAGTGATGGCAGAGCCAGTTCATAACAGGACCTTAGGAAGTCGTTTTGAGTCTGGTACCAGAATCTTTCTGCCTTGGAAGTAGTATCTAGGTGGATGCGATCTGGGGCCTGGTTTTCCTCCTTTCTTGTTTCATTTTTGATGTTTGTAAGGGACGCCCTAGGACCAGGGCCTTTCTGTGTTAGGTGCAAATCGAGGCAGCCCGTGTGCTTCCTGGGGTGCTGTCTCTCCTGAGAGCCACTCTGGGCCCGCAGAAGTCAAGCCGGAGGGCTGGGGGTGGGGCACAGACAAGAGATGGGGGCCGGGGTGCCGGGCAGGGTCGAGGGCCTGGAGAGGAGGTGGGAGCAGGGGCCTCGGGCAGAGCACGGATCCTGGGCGGAAGATGGGACCAGGGGCGCTGGGCAGGGGTGGCCGCGCAGGGTGTTTGCCCCGAAGCAGGGCCCACCCCACCCTAACTCTGGCCTCACCTCCTCCGCAGCCGCCTTCACCATGATCGGCACCTCCACGCACCTATCGGACCAGTGCTCGCAGTTCGCCATCCCGTCCTTCTGCCACTTCGTGTTCCCGCTCTGCGATGCGCGCTCCCGGGCGCCCAAGCCGCGCGAACTGTGCCGGGACGAGTGCGAGGTGCTGGAGAGCGACCTGTGCCGCCAGGAGTACACGATCGCGCGCTCCAACCCGCTCATCCTCATGCGGCTGCAGCTGCCCAAGTGTGAGGCGCTGCCCATGCCCGAGAGCCCCGACGCCGCCAACTGCATGCGCATCGGCATCCCAGCCGAGAGGCTGGGCCGCTGTGAGTCCCCACGCGTCCTCCCCCAGGACCTGGGTCCTGCCTCTTAGAACCTGGGGACCCCATTCCAGCCGTCCAGGAAAGTCTCACAGTCCCGCCACATGCCGGCAGGGCAGCCCCGGGTGCAGATTCCCTGTCTTCTAGTTCTGATCGCACAGCCCTCCTGACCCTGCCTGTTTGTGGGTCCCTAGTAAGTCACTCTATCCCAGTGAGCCACACACTTGGCTTCTCCAAGACGGGAGGACTCTGGGCCTACCGCCAAGGCTGAAAGGAGCTTAGGGGAAGACAGAGACCCCCTTCCAAGCCTTCCCAGTGGTGCACAAGCATCTCTCAGCCGCTGAATGAGGATGGTATGGTGGTGCTCCTTGAGGGGAGCCAACCCAGAAAAGAGGTTGACTTCCCCCCAGGCTTGGGAAATATTCGCTTTCTTGGTGAGGCCGGGGTTCCCTAAAGCAGCAGGGCTCCTCACCAGGGTGGCCAGAGGCTGCTCTCCAGACCCACTGCACCATCCAAAGCCTGGCAACTCAGCTGACATCATGAACCTCCTGGCAAGTTGCTTAAATATCAGTTTCCTCATATTACACCACGATAATAAGTACTAACCTCAGGAGCTGGAACGATGATTAAATGAGTTAGTATTTAGAAAGTTCTTAACACAGTGCCTGCACACAGCAAGCAGAGTGTAACTGGTATTCAACAAACACACAGCCCAGGTGTGGCTCAAGAGGCCCTGGGTCTCCCCTGGGAGTGGAGGGAGCCTGGGGCTCTGCTCACAGAAGGCTGAGCCCCGTCCTCACTGAGGTTGGGGGTCAGGTCTGGAAGTTTCTCATCCCTCCTGTATAGTTTGGTTTTGTTTCTAATGCAAGTGAACGTGAGGTTAGGGTTGACATCATCATTGTAGAGTGGGGGTGCCTGCTATTTCAGGGTCATAAACTTCTGACCAGGTTCCTCCCCACATGTGTCCCTGGTGCATCCATCCATTTCATTTGTGGGCTTGGGGACTTCTTTTCTTGGGCGTTACCTCCAATCCCTTGGTCTTTTGGCACTTCCGATTTGGCGAGGTGGTTTGGGTATCCCTTTTCGGAATAGTTGAAGACAAGCACTCCCTGGACCCACAGAGGAGGGCTGCTGCTTCCTCTTCATTTTCGGGCCTCCTGACAAACCTTCTCTCTCAGACCATCAGTGCTACAACGGCTCAGGCACGGATTACAGAGGGACGGCGAGCACCACCAAGTCGGGACACCAGTGCCAGCCGTGGGCCCTGCAGCGCCCTCACAGCCACCACCTGACAAGCGCCGACTTCCCCGAGCTAGGAGGGGGGCACGCCTACTGCCGGAACCCTGGCGGGCAGATGGAAGGCCCCTGGTGCTTCACGCAGAATAAAAACGTACGCATGGAACTGTGTGACGTACCCTCTTGTAGTATGTATTCTCTCTTTTTTTTCAAATGTTGACTGGGGGGTGTACTCTGTGATGAGATGGTACCAGGAGGCTGGTAGCTCTGGGATCCCCCACCCACCGTGTTTCACCACCGTGATTATTTGTTTTACATAAAGTCGTGGCTGGTTATAAAAGTAATACCTGGTCATTACAGGACTTTTTAAATTATAGAAGGAATAAAACTAAAGAAGAATGTGCAAATCACCTCTAATTTCACCACTCAGCAGAGACTACTGTTTACATTTGGGGGCCCTTCTGTCAGCCCTCTTTCCCTGTGTGGTCTTGGGATATTGAATTTGGCATCTTGTTTCTCAATGAACATTGTCAAGCATTTCCCACTATTAGTGAATATGCTTCCCATTACAGTTAAAACCAGCTTCTCAGACCAGCGTCTGTGGTTGGGGTGCAGGCCTCTTATTCCTCCTCCCACACCTCCCACAATGCTCAACTGTTACATGTAGACTTAGCAGAGTGAGGAGAAAATAGAACTTAAATCTCTTTAATTGTTTTCCCTGAAGTTTCTCTCTTAAATTATGACTAGAAGAAAAGTGTGTAGTTCATGGTTGCAAATTTTACAGACATCGTTATCTCTGGGCTTTCCAGATGGTTGAGTGGTAAAGAATCCGCCTGCCAACTCGGGAGCCACAGGGCATGTGGGTTCAGTTCCTGGGTTGGGAAGGTCCCCTGGAGAAGGAAATGGCAACCCACTCCAGTATTCTTGCCTGGAGAATCCCATGGATAGAGGAGCCTGGCAGGCCACAGTCTCAAAGAGTTGGACACGACTGAAGTGACTTAGCACACTTGCAAGATGTTTTTACAATGAGCAGTTATTATTTTTGTAATTAAAATTTAATCAAGAGATAAATATGCATGTTCTTTCCTCTGGCAGTTTTACTTTGCAGAAATATTTGTACTTAAAAGGGCAGAAATGCAAGGATATTTGTTGCAGAATCACTTCTGATAACTAAATAAACAGGCAATTATTTACCAACAAGGGATTAGACAGAAGTTCATCTGTGCCGTGGGACAGTGTGCAGTTTTTGATGAGTGGCTGGCATTGTGTGTTCTTCAAGAAACATAGTCTGGTATGTTGTGTTGTTGTTGTTTAGTTGCTAATTTGTGTCCGACTCTTTTGTGACCCCAGGACTGTAGCCCGCCAGGTTCCTCTGTCCATGGTATTTCCCAGGCAAGAATACTGGAATGGGTTGCCATTTCCTCCTCCAGGGGATCTTCCCAACCCAGGGAACGAACTTGCATCTCCTGCATTGGTAGGCAGATTCTTTACCACTGAGCCACTAGGGAAGCCCTTATAGTCTAGTATATTATTCTGCCACAAAATCGGAGCAGGAAAATATGGATGATATAATTCTGTTTTAAATGAGTTCTTTTTAAATTCTATTCTTAAAAATTGTATGAGCTGCCTCTTCTATGTCAAATTAGTTGAATATTGGTTATTTCATGTTAAACTTAAATATACACATCAAAAAATAAGTGAATACCAACCTGTTAATAGTATAAAGTGAAAAGGGTTCATGCTTAGTTGTGTCTGACTCTGTGACCCAATGGACTGTAGCCTGCCAGGCTCCTCTGCCCATGGAATTTTCTAAGAATATTAGAGTGGATTGCCATTTCCAAATTACCTATTAAGAATATTCAATTTTCTCTAATACTATAATTATTAATAAGCATGTATTCTGTTAGTGATTCTTAAAAGATAATGATAAAATAAATGGGTATACAAAACTATGGATAGTGCTCACATCTCATCTTGGCTTGAGGATCATGAAATTTCCCTCCTAGCCCTTAATCAGGAAAAATGACCCAGAATCTCCACTGTCCCTGAGGCTTTGAGAACACTCTGCCTCCAGAGTGGGACCAGGAGGGTTTTGTGTGTGGTTGCATTTGATTTTTATCTTCTTTTGGAGACTAGGGAACAAGACTGGGTTTGGGACAATGCTGGTGATAGTGGTGATTTTTAGAACTGAATTAGCTCTTTAAGGTACCACATGGACCAGAAATCACTTGTTTGCTTTCTGATGGAAAGCTCATTACCACTGGTTATAGGGAAGCCCAAGTTCCCGTGTAATTAATTATTCACAAGGTTGAGATGAAAACTGCTGGGGGCAGTCAGGGGCAGGGTTTTGGAAAACATGCTTTCCACATCACAGAGAAGCCTTAACTCTCCCTCAGGGGGCAGCACTGAGGTGTTTGAACCTTGCGGCCCAATACCCTCTGTGCTTTCCTGTAACTCCTGTAGGGGTAGACAGTGCGTTGCTCTTCACCATAAGGCAGGAAAAAAGAGAAAAAAAAGAAAGAGAGAGAGAGGAAAAAAAAAAGAGAAAAAAAAAAAAAAAGAAAGAAAGAAAAACATCCTGAAGCCTCAGTGTTTGTACATCTTAAACCAATGTTTTTCAAGAATTTGTATGCCCCTGCTGCATAAGAGCCAGTGCTCTTTTAAATCATATGCATTTTTAATGATTGTCTTTTAAGAGTATATGTTCATTGTACAAAAAAATGAGGAAAACCCTAAAATGTTCAGTGAAGTCAAGGATCATTTCTAATCCCAATATCCAGTTCCTTTCACTGAAGATGAGCGTGAAACTTGTGTTTCATCAAGTTTAATCAACTCATCAGGTTTAGTCAACACGAAAAGGTCAGAGCATCTGTGTCCAACAGGATTCAAATTAGGAAGCAACATGTTGGTGGTGATTGCTACTGTAAGACCTTTAGAGTCTGTTGTTTGTGCTCTGTATTCTGAGTTGCTCCCCTGGCAGGGAGATCTAGGTCATGCCTCACAAGGTGTACATTTTGGGGTACATAATGTTTTTTGAGGTTTGGGTTGTAATTTTGTCCCTTCATGCAGTTTACGTAACTATCTACTAGTGCTTAAATATTTTAGTTGGAGGTGGGGCTGGGCTGGTGGAGAACTCTGAGTTGAAAAGGGGGGGTATTTTCAGAAAAACCATGGATGCCTTGCTGTTCACAGGTCCCCAGGACAGCAGCAGGATGGGAATTCTGTACATCTTGGTTCCAAGCATCGCCATTCCCCTTGTCATCGCGTGCCTTTTCTTCTTGGTCTGCATGTGCCGGAATAAACAGAAGGCTTCTGCGTCTACACCACAGCGGCGGCAGCTGATGGCCTCGCCCAGCCAGGATGTGGAAATGCCTCTTATCAATCAGCACAAGCAGGTCTCTGTACCAGTATTTATTTAAAGAGGCTGCTCCCCCAGGCTTAACCCCTACCTGGAGACTGGTTAACTCCAGTACTCACTTTCTTAATTCGCTTGATTCACAACACATGATTCTTTTAAACTGGCCTTCTTTTTTGCCATTTCTTCTCTAAAATATACCGGGACATTTGCCTCCTTAGGGGATATATGGCAGGTGAGTTTGGAATTCATTATTTTGCCTCAACAGAGACCCGCTCTGTTATCACGGGCTGGGAATGAGCTTTCCTCCTTCTGCAGGGTTTCAGCTGTCCCCTCAGGGGGACAAAAGAGAAACTCAGATTGCCCCCACAACTCGAGGGTCGAATGTCGAATTTTTAAGGAATGAGGGCCTGTTTTCTGGTCAGTTTGGGCTTGGGCTGACTTTGTTTCATTTTTCAGGGAAGGACAGAGCAACAGTCCTATAGAGGTGATAGTGGGGGCAGCTCACCCCAAACCTGAGTTCCTAGGATGGTGAGAACGAACTGAAACGTGTAGCACAGAGAAGGTCTCCCCAAGCTCACCCAGCCTCAGTGAAGTGACATCTACATTACTTGCAAGTTTTGGGGGAAAATCATTTCAATCTGGGCTTTGAAGTGGAGGAGGCTGGACTTATTCAGTTCTGTAGCCAGGCATCACTAAATGTTTGCAGGGGGTGGTGGGGTGGAAGGGGGTTTAGCAGGTGAGGACACAGATTCCCCCGGGTTCAGACAGCCTCTGAGGACAGGGCTGGGCACACAGAAGGGGCAGGAAGTTGTAGAGGCTGAGAGGTGCAAGACTCGAATCAATTTCACCAGTGTGGTGCTTCTGTCACGTGGCATCTAATGAAGAATCTAGACAAGAGTAAGCAGCAAGACAGGCCCTTTGAGGCACATCTGGAGAACAGCTGGCCTGGACTCTAAAAATGACTCAGATCGTGGGAAGCACACCTCAGAGTTCAAGAGAAATAGACATCAGGGCCTTGCTGACAAGCAGAGGCGGCTGGGCCTATTGATGGGCACATAGCAGGGAGCAGCAGCAAAGGCCCTTAGCGGGGGACACAGCTGGGAGGGTGTCCTGGGACAGCTGGAGCTCAGAGTGCACACACCCACCCCCACCCACACACTTTGCAATGTATCTTGGGGTGGCGGCGTTGTTTGCAGCCTGGTTGGGACCATTTGAAGGTTTCAGGCAGTCCCACGGCATTGAAGCGCATTTAAGAGCAGAGAGCAGTGGGTGATGCAGGCTGAAACTGAGCCTGGTGGGGCTAGGGAGTGGCTCTAGGAGCCCCCTCCCGACCCCTTCTCCAGCTGTCTGGCTCTGCCTTCTGGTGTCTTGGTGGCAGAAATGTTTCACTGGGGCTTTTCTTCTTGGCAGGCCAAACTCAAGGAGATCAGCTTGTCCACCGTGAGGTTCATGGAGGAGCTTGGGGAGGGCCGGTTCGGGAAGGTCTACAAAGGCCATCTGTTTGGCCCGGCGCCGGGTGAGCAGACCCAGGCTGTGGCCATCAAGACGCTGAAGGACAAAGCCGAGGGTCCGCTCCGGGAGGAGTTCCGGCACGAGGCCCTGCTGCGGGCGCGGCTGCAGCACCCCAACATCGTCTGTCTGCTGGGCGTGGTGACCAAGGACCAACCCCTGAGCATGATCTTCAGCTATTGCCCGCACGGTGACCTGCACGAGTTCCTGGTCATGCGCTCGCCACATTCGGACGTGGGCAGCACGGACGACGACCGCACAGTGAAGTCCGCCCTGGAGCCCCCAGACTTCGTGCATGTGGTGGCGCAGATCGCCGCGGGCATGGAGTACCTGTCCGGCCACCACGTGGTGCACAAAGACCTGGCCACCCGCAACGTCCTGGTGTATGACAAGCTGACCGTGAAGATCTCGGACTTGGGGCTCTTCCGCGAAGTGTACTCGGCAGACTACTACAAGCTGACGGGCAGCGCGCTGCTGCCCATCCGCTGGATGTCCCCCGAGGCCATCATGTACGGCAAGTTTTCTGTGGACTCGGACATCTGGTCCTACGGCGTGGTCCTGTGGGAGGTGTTCAGCTACGGCCTGCAGCCCTACTGCGGCCACTCCAACCAGGACGTGGTGGAGATGGTCCGGAGCCGGCAGGTGCTGCCCTGCCCAGACGACTGCCCCGCCTGGGTGTACGCGCTGATGATCGAGTGCTGGCACGAGTTCCCCAGCCGCCGGCCCCGCTTCAAGGACATCCACAGCCGGCTGCGCGCCTGGGGCAACCTGTCCACCTACAACAGTTCGGCCCAGACCTCGGGCGCCAGCAACGCCACGCAGACCAGCTCGCTGAGCACCAGCCCGGTCAGCAACGTCAGCAACGCCCGCTACGGGGGACCCAAGCAGAAGGCCCAGCCCTTCCCGCAGCCCCAGTTCATCCCCATGAAGGGCCAGATCAGACCCATGGTGCCCCCTCCCCAGCTCTACATCCCGGTCAATGGGTACCAGCCGGTGCCGGCCTATGGGGCCTACCTGCCCAACTTTTACCCCGTCCAGATCCCAATGCAGATGGCCCCGCAGCAGGTGCCCGCCCAGATGGTCCCCAAGCCCGGCTCGCATCACAGCGGCAGCGGCTCCACCAGCACGGGGTACGTCACCACTGCGCCTTCCAATACTTCGGTGGCGGACAGGGCCGCCCTGCTCTCGGAGGGCACTGAGGAGGCGCAGAATGTCCCGGAAGAGGTGGCCCAGAGCCCCGTGCAGGAAGCGGAGGAGGAGGAGGACGGCTCGGTCCCTGAGACTGAGCTGCTGGGAGACAACGACACTCTGCAGATGGGCGAGGCCGAGGTCCAGCTGGAAGCCTGAGGGCCATGGGGCCGTCGGGCACCGAGTGGACGGACAGGAGCCTCGGGTGGAGGGCGCCCCGGGAGCCGCTGAGCTGGAGACAGCCTCCCTGTGCCAAGTCCTCCTCTGGAGTCCTCTTGTGCCCAGAGCCGCGCTGTGCCCACCTGTTTGGTTGGAGGGTCTTTTGGCCAGTGGCTCCTGACCAAGTGAGGATAGTAACCCAGCAGGACACATAGTGACTCCCCAATGCCACCTACATTTCCCCGGAGGTCGACATCGGTGAGCAGTGCTTGTGCTTTGAAGGAAATTAGGTAACATCTTCTCTCCATATTGCCTATGGATTGAGTATGTCCAAACATTGGGAAAAAGCGGCCTGCAACAAGTTGGGACCTTGGGATTTGTGATGCCCAGTGGCTGGGCTGCAGGCTGAGGATGGAGGAGGCTGCTTTTCTCTCTGCTGCCCCTCACCTGCCATTAACAGTCTCCCCTCACCCACCAAAGATTAATGGGAACAAGAAATGGCCACCTGTCAGGGTCTGATGAGGAAGGGGCTCCTGGAATGGGAGTTCTGTATTAAAACGTTATGTGCCTTAAAAGAAACCCACATGGTTTTGTATTCTTGTGAAATAATTTTTTAATTATCCTGCATGTGTATTTTGCCCAATTTTCTGGAATTCAAGGGAAAGTGTTTTGGGGCCTTGGAATGTTACAAAGGAGGCAACATTGTACAGAGCACATTATTGTTATTTTTTTTTTTAGAATTCTGTACAGACCTTAAATGTAATTTATATGGTTTTTGTATGCCGTTTTCATTGAAGTATTTTGAGCTTAAAATAATGACTTCGTAATTTAACTGTTTACGTTACCCACGTTGGGATACCACCGGATTGTATTCTGGTTTGCTTGTGTTTGTACCATATGTAAGTGAGGTCCGTTCATTTCAGAGCTCCTGTGACAGAAGGCCCACAAGTACATTGCATGTGACACACGGGATAGAGTTCACTTGTAACTCCCACACCTGCTGTACCCAATAAAGTGAAAGAGGAGGTTCAGTCGGCTCTGCAGGTCATGAGGATGTCAGGCAGTGGGGTTTGCTGGATGATGGAGACGCCAAATGATGATTTGGGCCGTGGTTGGGGCTTCTCCGGGAGCAGCAACTTCATTTGAACATGGATACATTATACATTGGCAGATAAATGATGGGAACAGGTTACATTGCTTTTCTTGGTGAAGTCTGTAGCGGGGATTAACTGCAGATGAGGTGAAGATGGTTTTGGGTTTTAAACCTCTCTCCTCCTGAGGTCCCAAAGGCCCTGCCATTTTTAGACCTGGAGTCTGGCGCTTCCCAAGGCCTGGAGCAGGGCTGCAGGGAGAGACAGTGAAGGAGACTAGGCCTTCTTTACCACTTGCCCGAAGCTGCCTGCATTCCATCGCTGGTCAGCAGCACAGCCAGCCGAGTTCCAGTATACCTGGACCAGGGTACATCTGTGGGGTCAGTGGCTCCTGGGCTTCCAGTTAGGGCAGGGGTTGGATGAAGCCTGAAGATGCTTCTGCTGGCCAGCTAATGGCCCCTGCTGTCCCTCTCCCCTAGGTGGGTCCCTTTTATCCTGGCACGGCCTGGGTGGTTTTCCATGTTTAATGGAGTGGGTCCACAACCCTGGGTTAAGCAAGGCTCAGCTAGGAATTCACTTCACATCCATAAGCAGTGGCCCTTTATCATCCATCAGAACATCTGATGGAGCTTGTTACAGAACAAGCACTGCCCTACTTGCTCCCAGGCAAGTCTGGGTGGGGCCAAGAAAGTGCATTTCTAACAAGGGCCCAAAGGGTCCTGATGCTGAAAGCCTCTTAAGTACAGCACCCTGGGTCTCCCTGGCTCTCTGGCACCTCAGGTCATCGTGTGCACCCCTTGCTCCTCTCTGCTAGCATCATGCTGCTGAGGGATACAGCCATGCACACAAACAAATAACATGTCTGAGTGTACATCCTGTGAATGTCTAGGAGCCCCCTGGAGCCCCTCTCCCGGCCAGTGTGGTCTGGATTGCATATTAAAAGAACTCAGGGCTACAGGGGGCTACTTCTCATTTCCACTGATCTGAAAGAGGAACTTCAGTTTATCTCTAATTTGGTACACCTGATGGTTTAACAGTTCCGTTGAGACCTAAGAGTGAAAAATGGGAAATAGCCCTTTGGCTGCCCTGTCCGCAGACCTAGCCAGGGAGGCAAGCGGCTGCTTCAGTTTCCCGTCACTCAGCACCCAGAGGTGAAGGCGGTGCTCGGGGCCACGGCCGGGACCACAGAGCGAGCAGCCAAGATTCTGCAGAAAGACACTTGGAGGGTTTTTTGACAGAGTGGGGGAGGTTTTGATCTGGGGGATTTTTTGGCTCGAAATAAAATTTGTCACTGCATCTTTAGGAAGGTTATTGAGCTTCTACAGTCAGTGCAGTTGAACGAAAGTGACTTAATTGGAATGTTCCAGAACAGATTTTAGAGCTAAGCTGCGTAATTCAGATATATGTCACTCGTACTGTCCCACCTAGCCCCACACCTGTTTATACCCACAAGAGGGAGATTTCCACACCAACTGAGTAAGGTCACATAAGTATAATTAGTTTTAATCAAGCCATACAAAGCCACAATTACTTTGTACATGCATTTTTTTGTTGTTTTTGTATACAGTACTTGTTGAAACAGTCTGTCAGAGCAATGGCTCACTTTTCTGTGCTGCTTTTAGGGTGTTTCACTCAATGTTACAGTTATATAACTCTTCCCACTATATCAAGACAAACCTCTTGGGTCTCTCTCAACAGGGAAATGCTTGCTTAAAAGTGTTCACTTTGGATGAATTCCACCTCTCAGTTCAGTATTGATAGCTATTTTCAGACAGTTTATGACTTTTTGACGGGAACATTGAAAATCTTTTTTGAGATGAACTTTTCAGGAGAAGGATGTATCAAAATCAACTTGTGTCAGATGACTAGCTCTATACCTAGCCACTGGAAATCAGTGTGACCTTTCTAGGTCAGAACTATTTCCACCTTCACCTCCTGTTTTTCCTTCATCAGCCCCTGAAGTAGTAGTAGACACTACTGCTGGAGTCTCTAGTAGTAGAGACTTGAGTGGAGACTCTAGTCCCTAAAGCAGTAGAGATTATAAGTGTTACTTGGCCTGGGACTTAATGGGTGCTCAGAAATTAGCTTTTGAAATAAGAATGATGCTTTATTTACGTGGACGAGGCCTGAATTTAGACCACCTGACACCCTCACTGAGAAGAACATGAGCCTGACTGTCAGATCTATTTCTTTTTCGGTTTTATTTCATTCATGTAGTTATTCAATAGCTGATACAAATAGCTAATACTGTCACTACAGCTAGTTCCTGAGTTCACCTAGTTCAGAGTCACAGTGGACATTTCCTCTCCCATCCCCAGCTACCCACCGCCCCCACCAAGTAATGACTACTGTTGATTCATTGTGGATCCTGTCAGTTTTTTAATGCATATATAAGAATGTATACAGTGTGTTCTTATATTTATACCATTTTTTAAACACAAGAGGTGGCTTCTCTACAAATGGTTTTCTGTTTACTTTTTTCACACAAGTGCATCTTGGGGGTCTTGGCTTGTCAGTGGACGGTGGCTGGTCTGCTGGAGGAGCGCCTAGCAGTTGTCCTGCCCTGAGCCCCTAAGGGCAGGGGTTGTAAGGAGGCAGATGTGACTGCAGTGCCCCCCACCCCGCATGCGCGCACACACACACACACACACACACACACACGGCTCTGGAGTGCTGTGTGGGTGGAGGGAACCGAGAGGGACTGTGACAGATACACTTAGCTCAGCTCTAATGTGTGTTTTTGTTAAAACACCGGACAAGTTAACATTTTTAATTCAATGGTATTGCTTTTTCACTGATTTGTTCTGCTTATTCTTTCTCCCAGTCTGAAGTGCTGAGGTTTTAGTGAAAAATGTTGCCCAGACATAGAGACATAGACTCAAAACCATCTTTTGTGCTTTGGAAGGCCTCAGGGAAGTATGCCAGTACCAAGGGAGGGACGGGGCCAATGACCACTTTTCTGGAACTCTAGAAGGCAAGTACAACACTCCCTCAACCTCAGTGTTCCAGGATGGCAACTGCCACACACACACACACACACAGCCCTGCTCAGGATGGCAGCAATACTCCCCTCCACAGCAATGAAAACCCTGCCCACCCCAGGATGACAGCACACCCCTCCCCCGCCCAGGTCGTGACTGCATCCACCGGACGGCTCAGTTGAGGTGATATTAATGGTATTTCTCAGACCTGGATGGAAAGTGGGAAGGGAGACAGTGTCCAAACAGGTGAAGGAGAATTCAGGTGAGAGGCAGCCACACCCCTCCCTGTGCTCCTGCCGCCCCCATCCATGTCAATTCCATGTTTAACATTTTTAAATAATCAATCTTATCAGGTTGTTTGTTTTTTTCTTTTTTTGGCTGGATTTTATATTTTGCTTGTTTCCTCACTAAAGCCATCTCTTTGAGGGAAAACGAAGCTAGTAAGAATGTGGAATCCCGGAATTTTGTTAAGGAAATTCACCATTACTTTGAAATATGTGGCCCCGTAAAGTGTAGCCTGCTAGGCTCCTCTGTCCATGGAATTTTCCTGGCAAGAATACTGGAGTGGGTTGCCTCCAGGGGGGTCTTCCCAACCCAGGGATCAAACCTGAGTCTCTTGTATTTCCTGCATTGGCAGGCAGATTCTTTACCACTAGTGCCACCTGGGAAACCCTTAAAATACACAGAATAATCCAAATTAGGCTGCAGGAGCCCAAGGAAAAGACTGAGGAGACTAACAGATTGCCTGCAAGGTAGTTTTCATGTTCAAGAAGCATCCTCCTGCTAGATGACTTCCAGTCTCAACTTGCTACACAGCTTTTCCTACAAATAATGCAAAGGTGTACTTCAGCCATGGCACAAAGGTAGACATTAGCCAGTGTTTGAATGACTTACAGGATGGGGGATGGGAATGGCTGGAATTTCCAAC